CACCCCCCAGCACGACCACACCCAGTCGCACCCCCGTTGAATGTTTCGTGGGGTGTCTGGTTGAGTGGTTGCCTGTTCGTGGGGTGTCTCGTGGAATGTTTCACGGGGTGTCTCGTGGAATGTTTCGTGAGGTGTCTCGTGGAATGTTTCGTGAGGTGTCTCGTGGGATGTTTCGCGGAGTGTCTCGTGGGATGTTTCGTGAGGTGTCGCCCAGTTGGGTATCGTGAAAACGTGACCATGCTTCACATGTCTATATCCCTTTCCGGGTTCGTGGGTCCATCATGTTATGTACAGAGGATTTTGTCTCCAGGATCTTTTAGTAAGGGTTCTTGGATTCGGATTTTCGATCAAGGGATCCTCAGCAAAGGTTCCCTGCTAAAGAAACCGTGCTAAAGAAACCGTGCCAAGGGGCCCTTACCAACAATTCACTTGTCTGGATTCGCCATTCTTGATTTCTTGACGCAACATGGTTTCCTGACTACGGGTACACTTCGAACGACCCCGTAGCAAGGAAACCTCAGCCAGGTTTCCTTACGATGGGTCCATTACTTAAGATTCTTTACTGAGGACCCTGTAACCAGGATTCCTTGCTAGGGGTTCCTGCATACGGACTTACAATCAAGGATCCCTCAGCACGGATTCCCCAGTGAAGAATTTGTTCCAAGGGTTCCTTACACATGAATCCCTAATCTGGATTCGTCGTTGTTGAGTTCTTGATCAATAGTTCCTTATTAAGGATGCCTTACGAAGGGTTCCCTAACCACGATTCCTTACGAATGGTTTCCTTGTTCGAGTCCCGTACGACAAGTTATGTTTAAGGGTACCATACTAAGGGGTCTCTGACTAAGGAGGCGCTATAAGGACTTCGTGCTAAGGATTCCCTCGTTAATGGCTGTTCAGTAAGAGTTCTTGCACGGGCCCGTGATAGAAGAATCCATCACAAGGGTTCTGCATCTAGGATTCCTCATCTAGGATTCCTCATCTAGGATTCACTGTACTGAGGATCCCTGAGGACGGACTGAGTTGCTCCAACTGACGGTCAGTTACGTCGGCTTCTCTGCTGAGGATCAAGGACTCTTTACTAAGGGTTCCGTAAGGATCCACTGTCAACCAGTCCTCAGTGACGTTTCCGAGTAATGGAATGTTACGAAGGTTTTCCAAGCAAGGAGACCTCACACGGATTTCTCATTGAGGATTCCATATCAAGGGGTCCATATGAAGGGTTCCTCATTCAGGAGTATGTATTGGAGGTTATTCAATCGCTTCGCTCATTCCGCCGGCCCTGGAGCCCTCTTTAGGGCCTCTTGGGGGCCTCTTTTGGGGACCTCTTAGGAGTCTCTTGGGGCTCCTTGGCGGCGTCTTGGGGGCCCCCAGGGCCTCTTGGGGGGCTCTTGTGGGCTTCTTGGGGCGGGGGGGGGTAGTCGATTGCGGCTCCCCCCTCGGAGGCAACGATCCTCGTGAGGGGTGTCGAAAAATTGCCCGGTCCGGGGTCTCCTCCTGGGCTTCTCCCGGGGTACTTTTCGCCCGAGGACCCCCAGGGGCCGCCCCGCGCGCGCGCGCGAACCAGAAATATTTTTAACCAGTTACCGGAGATCTTAGCATGCCTCTGGCCCGTTGGGCCAGCGAATTTACGAAGGATCTTCCCTTCAGGATTCGTTCCGAAGAATTCCTTAGGAGTCCTTACGAAGGAGGCGCTACCAAGGATCCCTTACTAAGGATTCCTTAGTCAGAGTTCGTTAGTAAGGATGTCTTATGAATCACTCCTTGCGGGTACCGTAGCAAGGATTCCTTAACATAGATTCCTTCAGGGTTCCTTTACTACGCTTCTGCGATCAATGATTATTCAGTAGGGGTCCCCAAGTAGGGACACTTTTTCCCGGAAAGGGCTCCGGCCCAGGGTTCTCTTTTAGTTGGTAAACCTGTCCCCCGGTGCCAACTTGAAGGAGGCCGGCGAATTTTTTCCCTGATAAATATCGAGGTCGAAGGAGGCCGGCGAATTAAAATTTGAGGATGTCTCGAGCGAAACGCTTGTTTTTGAAATCCCGATCGATAAATCACAGGGTGCGGGCCACTTTTTCGTGTGTTGAGGATGTCTCGAGCGAAACGCTTGCTCCGCAGAGTTTGCCGAGGATGTCTCGAGCGAAACGCTTGTTTTGCAGAGCCGACCGCGACGCGGAAAAGCGCCCCGCGCGAAGGAATTTCGATGATGTTTCGACTAATTTGTTTGTTTTTCCCGGAAAGGGCTGGGGCCCAGGGTTCTCTTTTAGTTGGTAAACCTGTCCCCCGGTGCCAACTTGAAGGAGGCCGGCAGATTTTTTCCCTGATAAATATCGAGGTCGAAGGAGGCCGGCGGATTAAAATTTGACGATGTCTCGAGCGAAACGCTTGTTTTTGAAATCCCGATCGATAAATCACAGGGTGCGGGCCACTTTTTCGTGTGTTGAGGATGTCTCGGCACGAAACTTAGCTACGCCAGTTTGCCGAGGATGTCTCGAGCGAAACGCTTGTTTTGCAGAGCCGACCGCGACGCGGAAAAGCGCCCCGCGCGAAGGAATTTCGATGATGTCTCGACTAATTCGTTTGTTTTTGTACGATTTCCTGGAATTTTGGCAGGATGTCTCGAGCGAAATGCACGACCCCACCCTAGCACGACCATACCCCAGCACGACCACACCCCAGCACGACCAGACCCCAGCACGACCCCACCCCAGCACGACCCCACCCCAGCACGACCATACCCCAGCACGACCACACCCCAGCACGACCCGACCCCAGCACGACCCTACCCCAGCAAGACCACACCCCAGCACGACCACACCCCAGCAACGACCACACCCCATCCACGAACCCCACCCCGCACGACCACGCCCCAGCCGACCACGCCCCACACGACCTCACGCCCCAGCACGACCACGCCCCCAGCACGACCCACCCCCAGGCACGACCACCCCCCAGCAACGACCACGCCCCAGCTACGCCACACCGCCAGCACGACCACACCCCAGCACGACCAGACCCCAGCACTACCACACCCCAGCACGACCCCACCCCAGCACGACCATACCCCAGCACGACCACACCCCAGCACGACCCGACCCCAGCACGACCCTACCCCAGCAAGACCACACCCCAGCACGACCACACCCCAGCACGACCTCACCACAGCACGACCACACCCCAGCACGACCACGCCCCAGCACGACCACGCCCCAGCACGACCACGCCCCAGCACAACCACCCCCCAGCACGACCACCCACCCAGCACGACCACACCCCAGCACGACCACCCCCCAGCACGACCACACCCCAGCACGACCACTCCCCAGCACGACCACACCGCCTTGGTTGAGTGGTTGCCTGTCGTCGTGTAATGTTTCGTGGGGTGTCTCGTGGAATGTTTCGCGGGGTGTCTCCTGGAATGTTTCGTGAGGTGTCTCGCGGAATGTTTCGTGAGGTGTCTCGTGGGATGTTTCGTGAGGTGTCTCGTGGGATGTTTCGTGAGGTGTTGCCCCGTTGGGTATCGTGAAAACGTGCCCATGCTCCACATGTCTATATCCCTTTCCGGGTTCGTGGGTCCATCATGTTGTACGATTTCCTGGAATTTTGGCAGGATGTCTCGAGCGAAATGCACGACCCC